CGCGTGCGAGAAGGGCTTGCAGTGGCAGCGGGCTCTGGCGCTGCTGAGCGAGATGTGGAAGGTGCAGCTGGAGCCCAACGTCATCTATACTCTAAAGCCGGGGGAGCCGCGTGCCAGAATGGCGGGGGACCCAGAGAGGCAACACCGCCCTCGGGCTGGCCCCAGGACGCCCCAGGCCGCCCAGGGAAGCCTCCACACGGGCCAAGAGGGCCCCAAGACGCGCCCAAGACGGCCCACAGACGGCTCCGAGCCGCTCAAGAGGCCGCCTCGACGGCCCCAGAAGCTCCCAAGGCAGGCGAGGAGGTTCCCAAGACGGCCCTGGAGGACCTCCCAGGCCCCAGGAGGCCAAAATCAACCCATTCCCTGCGGAAAAAGCGTATTTGGGCATGAGACCCCCAAGATCGCCCTAAGATGCCCCCATGAGGGCCCCAAGACCGCCCACGACGACCCCAGGACGGCTCCTGAGGCATCCCTGGTGGCCCACGGGGTACCCAAGACAGCCTCAAGAGCGGCTCAGGACGGCCCAAGACGACCGCCAGACGGTGCCCAGACTGCTCCAGCGACGCCCAAGGCGGATCCAGGCAACCTCCAGACGGCCCCGAGAACGCCTCAGATGGCCTGCAGGCGGCCCAAGGGGCTTCCAAAACGCTCCAAGTGCTCCTCGACGAGCCCCAAGAGAGCCCGAGCACTGAAAAATCGTCCCATTCCCGCGGGAAAACGTAAATTTTGGCAGTTCTTGAGCTTGCCCTCTTCATGGCGTCCAAGACGGCCATACAGAGGCCCAAGATGGCCCTAACCGAGTGCGGGCGATCATAATGTACCCCCTTAACCCCCTCTATTTTCATTGTTCCCTTTTCAACAGGATTTAATTGTGGAGAGGGGCGCGGAGGCCGAACTTTATAATCCACGGGGGAAGTTGCGAATCGAAGTTGCTATCATCTCATGTTGACTAGCAACAGCATCAAAAACGCTGAGCATGGCCATGGCGGTCTCACCATATCAGCTTCGTCTTGTGCCGAGCGCCTGCTGGCAAGTTGTATAGCCACGAGCATCGAGATCTCTCGAGTCAGTCTTGTGCCGAGCGCCCAGGATCACCATCATCTTGATCATCGTCATCCTCATCCTCATCCTCATCCTCATCCTCATCCTCATCCTCATCCTCATCCTCATCATCATCATCATCATCATCATCAGCATCATCAGCATCATCATCAGCATCATCAGCATCATCATCAGCATCATCATCATCATCATCATCATCATCATCATCATCAGCATCAGCATCAGCATCGTCATCATCATCACCTACCTTGCCCGGGAAAATCCATTGTTATCCCCGCCAGACCCCCGAACTTTATTCTCCCCAGGTGATCTCTATCGCCCGCACAGGGTTAGAACGGCTCCTGAGGCGCCCCTGGCGGCCCACGGGGCACCCAAGACAGCTTCAAGAGCGGCCCAGGACGGCCTTAGACGACCCCCAGACGGTGCCCAGACTGCTAAAGAGACGTCCAAGACAGACCGCCTCCACACGGCCCAAGAGGCACCCGAGACAGTTCAAGCCCAGGAGGCTTCCAGGAGGAGGCCGAGTAGAAGCGCTGAGAGGCTCCAAAACGACTCCCAGGGGCCCAAATATCACGGCCCAAGAAGCACCGAAGACAGCACCAACAGCAGCCAAAGACGGCCTAAGACGGCTTCCAGCGCACCATGGGCCTCTGATGCTTGTTTGGCGCTCCCTGCCGGATTTGGATTCAAAATCCCTCGCCCTTTTTGTTGGTCTGGAGCCCTCTCCGCGGCCTCTTGGGGCCATGCCGTGTTTCGCTTTTTTGGTGGCCCAGAATCGCCTCGGCCGACCCCGGAAGCGCGCGCGGTCGCCAAGGGCGCGTCGGGCGGGATTCTGGGTCGGCGGCGCGGTGGCCCAGAATCGGTCCCGCCGATTCTGGGCTGGCGGCCATTATGGAGCTATCTTGGAGGCGTGTTGGTGATCTTGGGGCCCCTCGGAGGGCCCCCAGACGGCCCCAGAACGCCCCGAGAAGGTCGGACCCAACGCACCGACAAAGCCTGACCCGATCCCAAAGGAGCCCTTGAGCGCCCCAGGTGGGGCGTCCAGACGCTCCTCCGTCTCCTCGCTCAGCGATGTGTGGCAGGCGAACATGACGCCATTCATCCTGCCTTGCAGCAGCACCCCTTCACCCCGCAAGTGGACGTAGTCCACGGGTCAGCCCTAGTCAGCTACAATGCTGGAATCAGCGCGTGCCAGAAAGGTGGACAGTGGTGGCATGCATTGTCGCTGCTCAGCGAGTTGGTGCGAGCAACCGTGGAGCCAACTATCATCTGAAGTACACTTTGAGAAACAGCGCACGTGCGAGCAGGGCAGGTTATTTTC